TCTGAGTGGTCGTGCTTTACGTGGGCTATCCTGTATATTATCTTTATCTGAGGATAAAGATTTTAAAAATTTAATCATCAACGCCCGAAAATTGTGAAGGAACGACCGTCGTAGAAGAATTCGATAACGTCGATTTTCCTGCATGGTTTCGTTTATCCAAAGAATCTGTGCTGCAGTGCTAGCGGAAATCGAGCGACTTGTTTTCGTCCTTACGTCCTACCTCCCGACCATTTATTATTAACCAGTCAATCCATGTTTGACAAGGAGAATCTTTGGAACTTGCTTCGTACGCACTATAGGTTTTACAGTTTTTATCAGCACGATGTGGAATGCAATGTAAATTTAACTATGACGTTAAATGTAGCAGCCGTTCAGCTTGCTTTAAACTTGAATTTGCAGAACTGAGCCTTAACCGTTACTCGAAATCCTTACGTCCGTGGTTGTACAAAGTTGTGCGTGATGTTGCCTTATGTGATTCGTGATTGTCTATAAATCTCTCTGTCCCGGGATTAAATCTGTATCATAAACCAGCCCGACAGCAGGCAGACATTGTCACGTAAAATATTCTCTTTATTTTTCATTTTCTTTTTACCGGAATGAATAGCATGACTGCAACAGCGCGTGACACTACGTTGCTCGCTGACGCGAATGCAATCATTTAAATTACATTATACACGGTGCGCCGTAATGGGCGCGTTTGGTAGACTAGATCATATTTCTCCGTCTGCGTCTGTCGCTGAGAACCGAGATAACTCTACCGAAAATTGAAAATTGAAGACCGCATGTTTTATTATCCAATTTCCTCAGTTTCTCCATCTTCAGCGTCTGTCTGAAATTGTCGCCAGTCGAAGAACGAGAAGGGGTCTCTCGCCGATCCACTTGCGTCCCGAGGCGCGAATTACCGAAAGTACTTTCGTTCCTTCGCCGCGAAGCGCCCGGCCGTTACTGTGCTCGCTCCTGTTGAAACAGATGTTGACACTCAGGTTACGCGCGATGCAAATCGTTACCCTAAAATCGTCATCGCGCGCGATCAGGAATCTGTGAGCGTCGCCTCAATTACACGCTCACGTTTACGTTTAAAACGGCGGCGACGTCACACGCGCCACCAGGTGCGCGTTTGATACGGGTCGTTTAAGTCGAGCGGCTGCGATTACGCATCCGTGATTTCCGCGACATCGTCGCGGGTGCGCCGGGTGACCGCAAAATCCAAATCTTGGTACCGTCGATTATCGATCGTAACGGATCGCGACAGCGTGGACGTCGTAACGATATGCGTGGATACACAACGCGCGCTCTGTAGCGGGATTCTCTAACTCGTTATGTGCTAATAACGACAATTTTCCGCTCGTTACAGGGTGTTCGGATTTTTTGGGAACGAAAAATTGTAAAGATTAATCAGATTAAACTAAGAAGAAAAGTCCAATATGGCGGTAGATATTGAGTATATTGAACTTTGAACCCTGTACCTGTCGCTTAATAGCCGTCATATAATTGTACGTCATTCTGAATATAAAAGTCCTCTACCATTTTACAAATAAGTATGCAAATTTTCAAGTTATCAATTAGAAGTTATCAATTAGAGTCTCTAAATGTGGTCATTTTCAATCATTAATAAGTTAATAACTATTGCGATTTTTGCAAAATGTTACTTGACTTTCCCTCTCAGTTCGATCTGATTAATCTTCACAATTTCTTGTTTTCAAAAAATCCCGGACACTCTGTACAACGTTGCGCATCTTTTCTGTCATACAGAGTGAGGAAGAAGTGTGGGAACCCTTAAAAATCTCAAAAGATATAAGTTTTATAGAAAAGTGTTTCAGACAAAAGTTGTAAGGCTCAAAATGATGTATTTACTGATCTTGATCAGTTTGACCTTGAGTGGTGTTGCCAGGATCAGGTCAAGGTCAACTTATTCTTTTTAATCGTAACCCATTTTTTATCATATCATCTTTTTCCACCAATTAATTTTAATAACTTTTGTCTGAAACAATTTTTAATTTGCCTAATACTTTTAAGATATTTAAGGAAAATTCGAAAACCTTTTTAATATTTAACTTATATCTCGCCAACTATTTGTCGGAAAAAAATATGCTATTAGACTTTATTTTTACTCTACTTGGTCTTAAGAATATATTGTTATAATAGTATCTTGACTTTTGTTAATTTGATGATTTTAAAATTTCCAAAAATCAATAAATTAACAAAAGTTGGGGAACTATTGTAACAATATGTTGTTGAGATCAAATAAAGTAAAAAAGTCTAATGCCATTTTTTCTTCCGACAAATAATTAGCAAAATATCGTAAGTTAAATATTGAAAAAGTCATCAAGTTTTCCTTAAATATCTCAAAACATATTAGGTAAATAAAAAAAATGTTTCAGACAAAAGTTGTTCAAATTAATTGGTAGAAAAAGATGGTATAATAAAAAATGGGGATTTCTGTTTAAAAAAAAATAAGTTGATCTTGATCTGACCTTGGCAATGCCATTCAAAGTCAAACTGATAAGATCAGTAAATATATCGTTTTGACCCTTATAACTTTTGTCTGAAACACTTTTCTGTAAAACTTATATCTTTCGAGATTTTTAAAGGTTTCCATACTTTTTCCTCACCCTGTATGTTAGCAACGTGATTTAGTTTTGAAGGTTTTGCAAGACATGACACTAATATCGATTTTGTCGAAGACATTTCAATCACAGCTATTGTTTCTTAATGCTTTAATATTAATCCATAATATTTAATCATTTACAACAAATGCAATGTTCATATTATTATCTTAAAAATGGAGCTTGCTAAAGAGCATTTTCGACATGCATTGCTTTTGTTTTTTAATCAGAGGAAAACGGCAGCTGGAGGTCATAGAATTGTGATAGAAACTTATAGTGATGTTACTCTATCAATTAAGACAGACGAATATCGGTTTAGACGATTCAAATGTGATGATTTCAATGTTAACGATAAAGATCGCTCGGGATAAGCAAAAAAGCTTGAAAATGTAGATTTGCAAGCATTATTGGACGAAAATCCAGCACAATCCATTTCAGAATTTGCCAGAGCATTAAATTGATCGTCCAACAGTTACTAAACATGATATGAAAAAGATTCACAAAGAAGGAAAATGGCTTCCATGTAAATTATCGGTAATCGGATGTCATTACAAATTGATTGAACATTTGCATTTTGTTTCACCAAACAAAAATGAAGAGTTTTTTTATATCGAATTGTTACTGGGGATGAAAAATGGATCTATTTCGATAATTCCAAACGCAAAAAATTATGGGTTGATCCAGGCCAATCAGCAACATCCATTTCGAGGCGCAATATTCACGGTTTATAAAGGTATTGCTATATATTTGGTGGGATCAAGAAGGTCTTGTATATACTATGAACTGTTAAATCCGAATGAAACTGTCATCGCTGATCGTTATTGACAACAATATAAACCAATATTCACATGTCTTAATTAATGAAGTAACATCGGGTTAAGTAATCACGGGTTAAGGCCGAGAAATGATACCTCAGTTTGAGCATTTTTTACAAGTAGAAAAAAAATTGTACTGAAAAGCCAAATGCTGGCCTGTATTATACAACTATCGAACTGTGCAAACATATTTTTATTCTATTTTATTTTTCAAAATGGCAGCGTACCTTTTTTTCTTTTTTTTTTTTTTTGTAACGGTGGGACTTCTAGCTCCGGCCTGGTTGGATCTGGAACAATCAGGCAAAGATTTTTATTATCTGCATATATACAACCTTTCGAGTACGGATTTTTTCGAAACGTTTGAAACTTTTTTGTAATAACCATTTGTTTAACGAAATTTCAGTGTAAAAAATGAATTTCTGTTCGTGCCAAATTGCGAATAATTAGTATATTTCTCTAAATTCTCTAAAGAAAAAAAAACACGTCTCTGAAGAACTGCCAATACGCCGCCATTTTGAAGAAGAAAATAGAATAAAAATATGTTTGTATAGTTCGATAGTCGTATAATACAGGCTTGCATTTGATTTTTCAATAAAATTTATTTTTCTACTTGTAAAAAATGCCCGAACTTAAGTATCATTTTTCGGCCTCAACCGTGTCGTTGCTACTTAAGCAATAGTTTCTGATAATTTATGTAATGTAATCCAGAGGAGGCCGAAATCGTGACCCTCCTCCTTTCATACATTTTTCGCGGTAAGAGGGAAACTCTGGAGTTGGTGCGATGGTTTGGTTAGGATAGATGCGCAAGGAGGGTAATGATCGGAAGAGAAATGGGCCTCTCGAAGATTAGGAGAGCGTTGCGTCGCGAAACAGTTCTCGCTCGCTCTCGGCGTCAGTCCAGACTCTCCTGAGTCGCGTTACGTTACGAGATTGGCTCGGTGTTTCCTGCGACGCGACGCGGAGCATTCTCCCTCGCGGAGCGAGCAGATGGATTTCTCGAGGTGTCGAAATGGGAACAGCCGCAAGAAAGAAAAGGGGATGTGACGCGAGGATGCGAAGACAGATGCGCTCGCCGCAAATAGTTACGTTCGATGATTCGCAGGAAACGCTGTCCCGTTATCATCCGCTACTGATAACGCGAAATCGGTCGAGCGAGCGAATCGACATTATCCGTTCGTATGTTAAATTCAAATCGCGCACGAGTGTTCCGGCGAAATCGCGTGCGTGTCTCTCTGCTCCTTCCAATAATAGATATTTCCTCCTGCATATATTTAGATAAGGAGAGAATATAATTACTCTGGCTCGTTCCTCGATCATTCACAAGCACTTTCGAAAATAAGGAGCGAGAGCGACATTTCATACCGCGGCTCATTAACATATTTCACAGGCGCGCGCGGTGACGACCGAAGTCGTCGTGCGGGTCTAGTCTATCGCATTGTTATTTCGCGTGGATTGTTATCGCCGTTAATTAGCCACGGCGCGCCGCGTGGCAATGCGCGATCAATCGTTATCGCGTTGCCGCGACGCCTACGCGATTATTATCCAAATGAGCCGATACAGTGTGTCGTTTGTCTTTCAGGTGGCTGTCAGACGTCCAGGCTGAAAGCGCGAAGGGTATCAAGCGATATGTTCGCAAAATGGCATTGAAGCTTCGACTGTCTTCCTCCTGAGTCGCTCTGCGATGTTGTTTAGGTGAGTCCGCCTCGCGTGATTCCAGCCCCGAGCTTCGCGCTTTTACTCATCACACGGGGAACATCCGCGAAGTGTGTGTCTCCGATTTCGACGAAATTTAACATATTTGTAGAGTAGCCAAAAATAAGAGACCCATATTTTCTTTTATCGCCAATGGCTCAAGTTTAAGGGGTGTGAGAGTGCTTCTCAGAGTTTCATCCCCTTCACACTATCTCGATAACTATTGCAGATAGGGGAAAACGTTTTGTATAAACATTGTACGGTTTTTTATGAAAAACAAAATAGGCTTGATTAAGAGAAAAAGTATTTCTAATAATTAACAAAGTAACCAAGTCGGGCTTATAATTATTAATTTACCAAATTCATCATATATGGGGGAAAAAGTTAGCATTTTTTATTCTGAATCCATCTATATATACATGGTGTCTCATTTTAAAAAATGCACCTCGATAATTCTTCAACGAAGCATTTTTAGCAAAAATATTTCGTACAAAAGTTGTATAATTTCAAGGAGGACATAAAACAACTATACTATTTTGTTTACAAATGGCACCGCTTTCGAGATATTCACTGATCATTACTTTTCTTAAACGGAAACTCCAATTTGTTATTACACTGTCTTTTTCTATCAATTAATTTAAAGAACTTTTGTCTGAAACATTTTTTTATTTAGCTAATATGTTTTGAGATATTTAAGGAAAACTTGATACTTTTTTCAATATTTGACTGACGATATCTCGCTAACTGTTTGTCGGAAGAAAAAGTAGTACCAGATTTTTTGGTCTCTACTTGGTCTCAAGAATACATTGTTACAATAGTGCCCTGACTTTTGTTAACCTACTGACTTTTGGAAATTTCAAAATCACCAAATTTTGTCCGAAACAGTTTTATTGAAAATGCTTTGTTGAAGAATTATCGAGATGCGTTTTCTAAAATGATACTCTGTATATATATTGTTTTATATATTTAAATTACACGGACATTATGATTTATAAGTTGGAGTGATACCATAAACAAGGTGCTCGGTAATGTGTGTATGCGCTTAATTGCTACTTCGCTACGCAGATAATGAGTATCTACTTATATGCTCTTTCGAACGTATGGGTATAAAAATAATTCAGAACGTAATACATAAACTTAACATATAAACATAATGCATAATACATAAACATAATACATAAACATAAACCTTTGCTAACAATTCTATGAAATTCTGAGGTATTAGTGAAAGAAGATATGATATACGGTGAAAAGTCATCTCTGTAAGCACGATTTAATCGAAAACGATTTCGACTTATTGATTTGTGGAATTATGACACGAGTGACATCAGTTACTGTGCAAAAAAAGTTTTTTTATGATGGTGATGTTTAATATTTTTGATCTTTTAGTTTAATTACATAATACTATTTTCTTATTAAGACTTATTTTGAAACATGTACGCGATAACACTGTACATATGTAACGGTATAAATATTTTGAAATGAGACGCATTTTGTCAAACATCAATATTTTACAGCAAGCAAATATACCGGTGAATATTTACGAAGAAGAATTGAAAGATAATTTATTGAATATTATACAGCAATGTATGGAAAATATCGTAGTTATTACGGAACAAGAGACATACCTGGACATTGATAAATATTTAAAATTCTAATGTCTACATATGTATATGTATGTATAATAAAACGATGTGATGTGGAATATATGTTACAAATAAAAAAATGTTCGACGGTTAGCGTTTATGTGTTAATAGTTCTGAATTATTTTTACACCTATAATATTATATTATAGTAATAAACTACGTTCAAAAAATGTTAAGATGTTCGTCATTTGCGTAGCAGTATAGCAGTTAAGCGCTCGCGCACGTTACTGAACGCGCTTTGCTTATGGTATCACTTCTACTTGTAAATTGTAATGTCTGTATAATTTAAATGTAAAACAATATATAGATAGATGGATTCAGAACGAAAAATGCAAACTTTTTCCTCCATATGATGGATTTGATAAATCAACAATTAAGCCTGATATGATTATTTTGCATTACTGTTAATTGTTAAAAATATTTTTTATCTATAGTCAAACCGATTGTATCTTTCATAAAAAAACCGTACAATTTTGTTTAAAAAGTTTTTTTCTATCTGCAGTAGTTATCAAGATAGCATAAAGTGGATGAAACTTTGAGGGAGCAGTTTCATTCCTAAAATCCTTTAAACTGCATTATCATATAACTTCTTTCACTAATACCTCAGAATTTTATAGAATTGTTAGCAAAAATTTATGTTTATGTATTATATATTAAGTTTATGTATTATGTTCTGAATTATTTTTATACGATCAAAACATGTAAGTAGATACTCATTATTTGCGTAGCGATTAAGTGCTGACGCACGTTATCGATTACTTTGCTTATATCACTTCCACTTATAAATTGCGTTTATAAATTGTAATGTTCGTATAATTTAAATATAAATTAAATCGTATAAATTAAATATAAAACGATATATACATATATATAGATGGATTCAGAATGAAAAACGCTAACTTTTTCCTCCATATAATGAATCTGATGAATTAATAATTAAGCCTAATATTAAGCCTAATATGGTTATTTTGTTAATTGTTAAAAATATTTAAGCCTATTTTATTTTTTATAAAAAACCGTACAATTTGTGTTTAAAATGTTTTCTCCTATCTGCAATAATTATCAAGATAGCATAAAGGGGATGAAACTTTGAGGGCTAGTTTCGCCCCTTAAACCTGAGCCATCGATAAAAAGAGAATATGAGTCTCTTGTTTTTGGCTACTTTACAGATGCGCCAAGTTTCGTCGAAGTCGGAGACACACACTTCGCGGATGTTCCTTGTCGGAACGGCGGATTCGACGGATTTAACCGCGAGACCAACTTCGCGCGAGCGTGACTTGACGATCGAGCTGTGTGCTCGTGCTTTCAAATTATTCTATTGATGTCAACGCGCCATTCGTCGCGATTAAGAGCGCGACCCAGTGCTTGACGGAGAGAGAAAGGGGCGGGGAGGGAGCGGCAGAAGCGGGAGCGCGCGATATTTTCGAAAGGCGTGAAACGTTTCCGCCACGCGTGCCAGACTCTCTCGAAGCCACGCGGAGTAGAAAGGCGCGTATCGCACATTTATGCGTGCCGGTGACACACGTGTAACTTCGACGCGAGGTTTCTGCAAATCATGCCTATTAACAACCGCTGAGACAAAGCTGCGACAATTATGCGCGTAGCGCTGCAACGGCGAGCTTAAAGCAGCAAAGGCGCGAGGCCTCTCCGTCGATGCGTCCTTTGTAGTCGTCGTCTAGCGGTACAAGCGACTCTCCGCCGCACGAAATTAATCCTTAAAGAGTTGAAATCTTGGGTGAAATTGCACCCTGTGCGAATTTGGTTTCGTTCTTGTTAAATATTAAATCATCCGCTGCAAATAATAACTCCTCTACTTTTCACTATTTAATAATGATGAAACATTTATAATCGCGTTTGTTCGACTCTTATTTCTAGAATAAAAATATATACGTATAACGGGATGAAATTCGCCCATGACAGCATTAAATTGATTTTCTTTGTTAGGATTTAAGCGTTAATATAAGACGCCGTTTTCCCTCGATGAATCGCGAGAGCCTCCATGGCCGTTGAGCGACGCACGCCTTTGGCAGCCTGTTTCAATGGCGGATGCGATTGCTAGTCGATTCTGAGGTGCGATGATACAGGAAAACGATCGGATTTGACGAACAGTGGCTGTGAAAAAATCACGTCGCGCCTCATCGTTCATTTATTCAGCGTGACGTGACTGATTTCGCAGTGTTCGTTCGTGGCCGGTTCCGACGAAGCTCAAAGTCCCTTCGACAGACTCTGCTTCATTAGACCCGATTGTAGCAACATTATTTTAAGCAAGGTTTTAAGCAAGACTTGAATATGTGTTTGTCTTTATTTAGAAAGAAAGATGAAGATAGATTTATGTTTAAGTCTCTTATTAGAAACCCTAGACACATGGGTGGTGCTATTCACACACATGTAAAACCGTAATAATCTTACTTCAGTCCTGGCTTAATTAGTTCTTCGATAGTCTAGCCTATCCATGGATTAATAATGAACTAAGGCTGTTTCTCAGAGACATTTTTCCGAAGTGGTTTAAATTGAGTATTCGTATTGGGGTCATATTCTATCGTCTTAAATTTAAATCGTCTTCTAATATTTCGTAGCCAGTGAAATACAATCAGTAGGAAATTGCCAAAGCGCGACTTTTGAGGTTAGTGTTTACATTTTGAGATCCTTTGTATTGTTACAATAGCGCCCTGACGTTTGTTAATTTGATGATTTTGAAAATTTCCAAAGGTCGATAAGTTGACAAAAGTCAAGGCATTATTGTAACAATATTATAATTCTAAATAGAATAAAAACGTCTAATACCGCTTTTTCTTCCGGCGAATAGTTATAGCGAGATATCGTAAGTTAAATGTTGAAAAGGTTACCAAGTTTTCCTTAAATATCCCAAAAAATATTAGGCAAATAAGAAAATGTTTCAGAGAAAGGTTGTTCAAATTAATTAGTAGAAAAAGATGATATAATAAAAAATTGGGATTTCCATTTCAGAAAAGTAATGATAAGTGAATATCTCGAAAGTGGCGTCATCTGTAAACAAAATGATATAGTTGCTTGATGTCCCCCTTGAAACCATACAATTTTTGTCTGAAACATTTTTCTCTAAAATGTCGTATTTACAAAGAAATCAGGTGATACTGGCGGTCTGTGATACAATGTATATTCGCTATTTCTCCGTCTCTCTCTTTAATTTATCCGTCTTTGACGCGCTCACGCATGCTCTATAGAGCGCAATAGTGCTAGATACAGTGCACGCTGCTCTGAGTGTGAAATATATGAACTGCTCTGAGGTTAAAAGTGAAACAAGAATTAATAGCAGTAATAAATGAGCAGTAATAAATATGGTAATGTGCAGTACCATATTACGGAAACGTACGT